CCTGGAGGCGGGGGCGGCCGGGGCGGGCGGCGGTTACAGCACGCGAGGACGAGCTCGCCGTCGCTCTCCTCGCCGTCGCTCTCCTCGCCATCCTGGAGGCGAGGGCCGCCGGGGTGGGCGGCGGTTACAGCACGCCAGGACGAGCTTGCCGTCGTCCTCCTCGACGTCTTGGAGGCCGGGGCGACCGGGGGCGGGGCGGCGGTTACGGCACGCAGCACGCCAGGACGAACTCGCCGTGGTCGTTCTCCTCGCCGTCCTGGGGGCGCAGGTCGGGGCGCCTGCAGCTGGTGATGCGGCTTGGCCGGCAGCATGCCTAATCCGTTTTAAGTCCTACGGCTACATGTGCTACCGTGTGCGGTAATAGCACAGCGCGCTCACACCTTTTACCCTTGTACTAGAACGCCACGTTCGCTGAATCTGTTGTTCCTTCGCCCAGAACATTTTGTTAGGCTTGAATCGTCTGAGTTCCGAGTTCGATATTTACGGACCGCCCCTTCTAAACTTAAAACGATTTTATTTAATGAATGCAAATAGCCAGAACGGCCCTTTTTGGCAGGGAGGCTCCTTTTGTACTACTGAAGCGGTTCATAGAAGTCCATGCAATTCCTTCCATCTGTTATCTTGGAATTAAAAAAGTGTCAAAGTTGAGTTCAGGCGTGAGATCGGGGACTGCCATAGGACGCTTCCCCGGCCTTATCCGGGAAACCACGTCAAATTTTCATTCAATTATTTCTTGAATTTGGGGTCTCTTTCAGCACTAGGGGGAGTTTCATATTGTTTCTCCTTCCCTAAACTTGCTCCAACATTGGGTCAAACTCGGTTATTTATCCAAATTTGTTATTATTTGGAGATATTGTCAATTCGTGTCGTCTACGGCTATAGCTCGTGTTCCCGCCAACCCGCTGTTCTCTCATTGGCTTTAGACGGGTCACGTGAAAACAGTGACATCTTTGCCTTTAAACGTAAACAAACGTAATTTTTGCCTTTGAATTTCGTGCGCGCTAATCAGGCTTTCACCTGTGTGTTTAATCGATTTATTCGGTTTTCTCTGTTTAGCATTCCGCCTTATTCCCATTTTCTCACTTAACTTTCATATTGGATGACACCCTTGGGACCACCAAGGAAAATCTTTCCATTGAGGTTAGTGTCCTCTTAGTTTTATTCTTTACAAATCCTGTCAAGAGTGCATTACAGTTGTGTAAAACTCTTATCAATACTAGTGTGAGTGTTAAGTGCTGAAGGCCACCAGAATATCTACAATATCTGCTGTGCAACCACGAAACAGGTGTGCTAATTTCTCTAAGCTTGTTTCCTTTAAAAAGATTGAACCTCAGAGCAAGCAGCAGACAAGACCCATAGAAAAAACACTAGAATTGTTCAATTTGCCCCGATCATGAATAAGCCTATGCAGTCGTATGTTAATTAATATTGTTTGGATGCAAATAGAAATTGAGTAGCACGATGACGCAATAAGAATAATGCTGAGTGCAAGAAAAAACTACAACGTTTTTAACTAGGAAATAGATTATTTAAATAATATACAATGAAGCTAAGTAGTATGTGATAAACCTGCCTAAGGGAATTACAAACCTATTCCGCTCTTGACAAATAGTACACAATTTCTCGTTCTTATCGGTCTTAAATCTGTAAAGGAGGCCAAACTGCCAAACTATTAATTATTTATTGTTAGATGGCAACCCGGTGGGGCATGGTGGGGCGTGGGGCGCACACGAAGAATCCCCATGGTGGCGGACATGGCCTGTGTTATGAGGGTAAGCGGGAGGGGGGGGGGGGGCAGCAGTAGGTCGGGCACGTGTCCAGGTCGCTGTCCTCGCCATCCTGGAGGCCGGGGCGGGGGCCGGCCGGCGGCAGCAGCAGGCCGCGGCGGCGTCGTGTCCAGGTCGATCCTGTCGGGCCGGCCGGCGGCAGCAGCAGGCCGCGGCGGCGTCGTGTCCAGGTCGATCCTGTCGGGCCGGCCGGCGGCAGCAGCAGG